TATATATATATATATATATATATATATATATATATATATACGTTCCACACGTAATGTAATCTCTACACATAATGTGGGACTTGAACTCACAACTCCAAGATCAAGAGCCACGTACACTATTGACTGGGCCAGCCAGACACCCTGGTACCCTAAGAGTTGTAAAGAATTTTATTTTATTTTATTTTTTAAAGTTTATTTATTTATTTGGAAAGAGATAGAGAGTAAGCGGTTGAGGGGCAGAGATGGGGGGTGGAGTGGGGTTGGACAGAGGATCTGATCCCAAGCGGGCTCTGTGCTGACAGCAGAGAGATAGGGGGCTCGAACTCACAAACCGTGAGATCATGACCTGAGCCAGAAACCAAGAGTCGGACGCTGAGGATTTTAAGTTAGTTACTGGAACAGCTGCCATACTCAGAAGGCTATTTAAGAGGCATTTAATGGAAGGCCTACTTACAGAGTCACGGACAAACTTAAGGGAGCAAATAAGGGATAATGAAACTCTCTGGGACCAGCAACACGGGGTCAGTTACCACCCCAGACCCGAAGGGGCAAGGAGAGGGAACAGTTTCCAAAGCTAGAGAGGGTGTAGCCACCCAGCGGGAGTGTGGTGGTCAGCAGAACACAGCTGCACTAGAACATCTAAGGTAAATACGTCTCCTCTCCCTCTTGCTGCCTCCTGCAGGAGCCTCTGGGAAGCTGAGGACAAAGGGGTAAGGGATAAAGAGTTAGGGAGGGAAGAGACTTAGAGGGGCAAAGGAATATCCAGCACAACTGCCAATATTTAAACATTTGGGAAAGAAAGATGCAGAGCCCCACATAGTGTACGATCCTAGTTTTACACAACAAAGTCAACTCTCCCATATATGTATATATAATTGCTTATGATTGCATGAGAAGGGAGAAAGGTGTGGGATTATACATGTGAGAGTGTTAGGATTTAGTACCTGGACAGGGTGTGGGGCAGGGGAGAAGACAATAGAAAAAATAGGATATTTATTAATATGAATTCAGAGTCATTTAACAAAGAAAATAATTGCTAAAGAAACTGCACATTCAAGTAAGATAGATCATTGTAGATGCTGTTTCTAATGACAAGATTTTGTTTGTTTCTAGGGGTTGGGTAAAATAATCATGATGCAGCCTTTCAGTGACACACACACACACACACACACACATACACACACACTGAACATAGGTGTTTACAATCATGAAAAGTGTTTACAAAGCATATATTTAAGAAATCGTTACAGGGGTGCCTGGGTGGCTCAGTCGGTTGAGCTTCCGACTTCGGCTCAGGTCATGATCTCACGGTCTGTGAGTTCAAGCCCCATGGCGGGCTCTTTGCTGACAGCTTGGAGCCTGGAGCCTGCTTCCGATTCTGTGTCTTCCTCTCTCTCTGACCCTCCCCCGTTCATGCTCTGTCTCTCTCTGTCTCAAAAATAAACAAACATTTAAAAATTTGAAAATAAATAAATATAAAAAAATAAAAATTGTTACAGGAAAGCATATCTATACTCATATCCACACCTATCTATGTATCTATGTATATTTCAGTGGTTGTGTCTAAATCAGTCATGGTGGTTGTTTATAGTCTATAGATGAAGGAGGATAACTGGTGGGTTTGTCTTCTGTATTTCTTTCTCTCTCTCTTTTTTTTTCTTAGAGAGAGAGAGAACGAGTGGAGAGAGTGGAAGAGGGGCAGAGGGAGAAAGAGAAGGAATCTCAAGTAGGCTCCATGCTCAGCATGGAGACCGACACAGGGCTCGATCCCACAACCCTGGATCATGACCTGAGCCAAAATCAAGAGTTGGATGCTCAACTGACTGAGCCACCCAGGCGCCCCTTTCTTTACTTTTAATTAGATGTATTTTCTCCTTTTTTCCCTAAATTAACTTGCATTAATTCTGTTATAAAGAATAAAATACGCGGTGCCTGGGTGGCTCAGTCAGTTAAGTGTCTGACGTCAGCTCAGGTCATGATCTCACCGTTCATGAGTTCGAGCTCAGCATCGGGCTCTGTGTTGACAGCTCAGCTCCTGGAGCCTGCTTTGGATTCTGTGCCTCCCTTTCTCTCTGCCCCACCTCTCTCTCTCTCTCTCTCTCTCTCTCTCTCTCTCAAATAAACATTAAAATTTTTTTTTAAGAATAAAATAAAACACACCTCTGAGCCGGTTAAACATGTATTCAGTTTGTGAAAATTCAGAGAGCTTTATACTTTTTCACTTTTCCATGTATATTAGTCTTCAATAAAAATACTACTTTTCAGTATCAAAACAATGCACAAAATCAAAAAGAAAATTCGAGAACCACCACAATGTTTTAATTGAGGTGAGAGTCACATAACATAAAATTTTGGAGGTGAACAGTTCAGTGGCATTTAGAACATTTAGGATGTTGTGTAACCACTCCCTAACAGAACACTAGACACGGAATCACGCCTATCCCTGTAGGTATTAGAGACTCATAACACCTCTTCCTACCATTCAGAAATGGGAAAAGAGGGTTCAAAGAGGTTAAGCAGCAACTCGTAAGCCAAAGCTGACTCACCCATCGCCCCTGTGAAGAATGAGAGTCAATAGTCTGAACCGAAGGGTGGGCCATGTTCAAAAGCTTGGGGACTTTGGATGATGAGGACACAGGTTCAGTACTGAAGGGACCATTGGTTGACCTTGAGTAATCGGGCCCTCCGATTATGCAATGATCAAGCTACTGACGTGATGGCGGTTTCACCTGAGAGGAAAGAGAAACCCCCTTTGACCTGCCCTTGGCCTCAATCCCATACATAGCAGATGCTCCCTGTGCAGGCCAAGGCTCTCTTCGCCACTCTCCAGTCGTGACCTCTGGCAATCAGAGCAGTGGAGGAACTCCTACAGGCTCAGGAAACCCATTTGTGGACCCTTCAGGAAGTTTGCAAACCATTTTTTTTTTTAAACACCAGCATCACTTAAATTGTACTAAAAAGTAAATTTTAATTTTTTTTTTCAACGTTTATTTATTTTTGGGACAGAGAGAGACAGAGCATGAACGGGGGAGGGTCAGAGAGAGAGGGAGACACAGAATCGGAAACAGGCTCCAGGCTCCGAGCCATCGGCCCAGAGCCCGACGCGGGGCTCGAACTCGCGGACCGCAAGATCGTGACCTGGCTGAAGTCGGACGCTTAACCGACTGTGCCACCCAGGTGCCCCTAAAAAGTAAATTTTAAAACTGCAAGCATTTAGGTGCGCCTGGGTGGCGCAGTCGGTTAAGCGTCCGACTTCGGCTCAGGTCATGATCTCACGGTTCGTGGGTTCGAGCCCCACGTCGGGCTCTGGGCTGATGGCTCAGAGCCTGGAGCCTGTTTCGG